AGTTTGCAGGTCCTTAAAAAGTCTTAAAGGTTAATTATATATATATATATCAGGCCTTAAACATCCTTCAATAGTCTTAAATTTGAATTTGTGAGGTCCTAATGGACGTAAATATTCTACCTAATTCAATTTATCTATCTTTTAATAATGTTCTCTCAAACTGAGTCGAGCTCTTCTGCATGGAAGTCTAAATTTCTAATGTTACAGATCTTTACCACTGAACCTAATGCTGTCCTTTACTTACTGACTCACTTACACCTGCACTGATCTGTTGGCAAAATGTAGATTAACCCGACTCACTCTAATAACCATATTCCTGCACATAACATCCCTCTGCACAGGACCACATAATACTACTTACCTTTACCTGCAAGTCTTGAATAATAAATAGATGATTTATCCAAAAAACAGTCTTAAATTTGGTTAAAAAAAATATTTTGAAAAGCTCTTAAAAACCATTAAATGTAAGTGCTTCATATGTGTCGACATCCTCTGATATTATTAATAGAAAATATTAAGTAACTAATAAATGATGATGTATTGAGCTAATCAGCAGGAGGCCTGAAGTGACTGAAATTAGCTTCACATCCCAGTAAAATGATGAACACATTAATACATCAATAACTATATATTATAGTGCACTCAGCATAAGGAGTTACTTTTGAAACTTAACTCTTGTACTTTTACTTAATATTTTAAATGCAGGACTAATAAAATAGTATTCTAACACTGTAGTATTTGTACTTTTACAAATTCCACCATAAGACACAGACAAGCCTGGTCTTATACTTACACACATAAGTTCATTTGAGAGAATTAATGACCTTATCATGCAGTTAATAATAAAAAACTTTATTCATACAGCATCTTTCAAACACAAAATTGTGTTGCTTTGATGATGCACATTTCGTACATAATTATTATTGTTATTTCTATTTATGTTTATCCTGTGTTGTACATTGCAACATAATACATATATTTTTGTATTTCTTAATGTCTGTATTATACTGTCATATTTCTAAAATATTTCAAAAACTTAACATTAGTTTCTACATTGTAAATATGTTTGAAAACTTTACATATTAGTTTTTTACACTGTAACGTAACATAATACACATATACTTTATTTCTCAATTTCTGTATTATATTTCTACATTTCTAAATATATTTCTAATACTTTACATACGAGTTATATAGATTTTAATGCAGCATAATGCACATATTTTTATATTTCTAAATTTCTATAAAACATTTCTATTGTTTCTTATATTTCTAAAACTTTACATGCTAGTTTTATACATTGTAATGTATAAAACATTACAATGTAAACATAATGTCTACATAAAGCATCATACCTCAACATCAGCAAAACCAAAACCATAAATTAAAAAAAAAATGAAAATCATAAAATTGTTAAAACATCAAAACAGTTAAGAGTTATGTATTTTAATTGGCTTTTATATAAAATAGTGCTACACAAATAAAATTAGAGCCTGAACACAGCTTTTAAGTCAAAATAATGACTTTAATTATCTTTAAAAAATAAACATCATACGGCTTAATTTTAGTTTTGTCGGCTGTTAACAGCTGAAGGTTGATTCTTGTGTGCAAACTGTAAATAAAGTTTATGTTCATGTGTTTGTGTCAGGTTCCTGTTTTATTTTGAAATGTATTCTCATTGTGTTTGTTTCTTTTACTTCCTGAGTTTTCCCGCCTCTGTTGATTACTTCACCTGTGTCTTGTTCCACTCACCTGTGTGTAGTCAGTAATCATCCCCTGTGTATTTAAAGCTCAGTGTTTGAAACACAGATCTCCTTGTCCACTTTTGTGTCAGGATCAGCTGCAGACTGACTTTGCAGAGATGGCTGCCATCTTGTTTTTACACGGTGATAGTGCTGGCGGCTGACTCCAGACTATAAACCATTCTCATCAATCCTTGACCTGAGTGCAGCCTGCGACATCTCCCACACCATCCTTCTCGACAGGCTAGCATCATTTGGTACTGTATATCTGACACACCCCTGGACTGGTTCAAATCCTATCTCTCTGGTTGCACTCAGTTCATTCAGTTGAAAACCTTCACATCCCAACCATCTCCCCTCTCCTCAGGTGTTCCCCAAGGCTCTGTCCTCGGTCCCATCCTGTTTATCATCTGTCTCCTCCCTCTTGGTCACATATTCCATAAATACAATATCCATTTCCACTGTTACGCGGACGACACTCGGCTCTTCCTTTCCACCAAACCCATCTCCACCTTCCTGCCCTCCTCCCTCTGTGAATGTTTACAGGAAATAAAATCCTGGTTTTCTTCAAATCTCCTAAAACCGAGGTTCTCCTCGTTGGCACTAAATCCACCCTCACTAACACGTCCAGTTTCACCATCCCCATTGACAGCTCCTCTGTTAAGAGTCTGTGTCATCCTTGACGGCACTCTTTCATTCCGAACCCACATCAATAACATTACCCGGTCAGCCTATTTCCATCTACGCATTATGAATCGTCTTGATCCGTCCCTCACCCCCAACAGCGCTGCCATCCTGGTCCACACTCGGGTTACATCCCGCCTGGATTACTGTAACTCCCTTCTCTTTGGTCTCCCTAGAATTGGTCCAGAACTCTGCCACCCGTATCATCACCAGAACTCCATCAATCAATCACACCACACCTATACTACCACAACTTCACTGGCTTCCAATCAAATACTGCATGGACTTTAAAATTCTGCTCCACACTCTCTTTTTTTTTGAATATATGTTTATTATTTTTCAAAGGACAGAGAGCAGAAGGAAAAGAAGAGCATAGAAAGAAAGATAACATACAGAACATAGCACATCTAAAATTATGATATCAGTCCATGGTCATAGTTAAGACAATAAGGCAAATGACTAAAGAAAAACATTTATGAACAAATAGAAGAATAAAGTGAAGTATATGCAAACTCATATACATCTGAGCACAGTGAAGCATTAAGTGTGCCCCTTAAGGTATCTCAGTACAGGGTCCCATGTCTTGTCGAATACCTCTCCTCTATCTTCGTTATAAAGCCTCAGTCTCTCGAGATGTAATGTGTTGGACATTTCTCCCAGCCACAAGTCATATGTCGGTACACAGTCCATTTTCCACAAACATAAAATCAGTTTTTTCGCAATTACCATCCTGAATTGAATAGCCTTCTTCTCATATTTGTTGGTAGAAGGTAGAACACTTGTAGCTCCCAGAACCGCTACAAGCGGGCTGGGTGCCAGGCTTTTTCCAAAAGCCTCAGAAAAACAGTGAAAAATGCTTTTCCAGTAAGAGTGAAGTTTACTGCATGACCAGAAGGAATGTGAAAGATTACCTAACATGGATTTACATCGATTACACATGGGTGAAACAGTAGGGTAAAATCTGTGTAGCTTCTCCTGTGAATAGTGGAGTCTGTGTAGTATTTTAAATTGTATAAGGTTGTGTCTCACGTTGACTGAACATTTATGAACATTACGAAGACATTCCCCCCAATTCTCGTCATTCAACTCAATATTCAACTCATCTGCCCATGCCTTTTTATAAACCTCCGTACTCGGCAGAGCTCTCTCATGAAGGATTCGATAAAAAAGGGAAACCGCCCCACGTGTGGCCGGGTTAAATTGGTTCATTGCCTCGAGAATATCATGTTTGCTCAGAACTTCAAATTTTGGTACATTTTTCTTAACAAAATCTCTTATCTGTAAATATCTGAAAAAGCTTGAGGCAGAAATATTATAAGTGGTTTGTAGTTGTGTAAATGAGGCAAAATTCCCTTCAATATATAAATCGCTCACACTACTGATGCCCCTCTGTCTCCAAGCAGAAAAAACTACATCATTCAGGCCAGGCGTAAAAGCATGATTTTCACAAATTGGAGTATCAATGTATATACTTGGGGCCTTGATATGCATTTTTATCTGTTCCCATATGCGTATTGCTCCACACTTTCAAGGCCATCCGTAACCTCTCTGACCTCCTCCACATCAGCACTCCCTCCCGGACACTCAGGTCGGCCTCTTCCATCAGCCTCGTTGTGCCCTCTGCCCGTCTGTCCACCGTGGGGTCCAGAGCCTTCAGCCCCTCTGGAACTCCCTCCCTCCAGACATCAGGAACATTGACTCATTATCCATTTTCAAATCCCACCTGAAGACACACCTTTTTAAACAGGCCTATTCTATCTGATTGCCATTGCTCTGCTGCAGACTTCACATTTTACTGTGTTGATGTGTATTTAGCCCTTTTAAATCTAATTGTCTTTTACCTGTTCTGTATGGGGACCTTGAGTGCCTTGAAAGGCGCCTTTAAATAAAATGTATTATTATTGTTAGTTAGTTATTGTGCTCTTACTACCACTAGATGGCACAAAAAGTGTCCACAAATGAGGACAACTGGTCAAAGTTAAGCAGATTATAAGGTGCAGTAAACCCAAAATGAGGTGTCCTCGCAGGGTCTCAGGATGTGTTCAGGGCTGTTTTATTAGCATCAGGCCAATGACAGTTCAATATCCAGTTTGTCACAGGTGTTGCAACAAATAAAATATCCTAAATAGTTTCACCAAAGCATGGTGATTATGGGAATATTGTGTGATGTCAAATCCAGACAGGAGCAGCTGGTAACATGCACCAGTCTTTTAAATGTCATGGACATCAGTAAGATGCACCTGAGTAGAGGTTTGAACAATAAAGCAAACACAGCAGCGCCCCCTGTGGCCAACCCGTGTCATTGTCTGACACGAATCTGATTATTTATTTATTCATTTAAAAAAAATCAGATTTGTGGCTTCTGGCATATTTATCAAAGGATTATCCAGGATGGGGAGAAATCAGATAAAACTCTTTATTCACTCTATGGAATATTATCAGAGAATATAAACATAATAATTCATATAATATGATATTTCTGTTTTTTCTTATGCGCAGTTTTTCTGAACTGTAATATGATTTTTTAAAAATTTTATTCATCTCTTTTTTTATTTTATTTCAGACGGGACCTGGGCTGCAGGAGCCCCTGTGCCTCTGTCAGACACCGCCAGCTGTCATTCAGCCTGTGTTGTAGTTTGTGATGGAGCAGGCCTGATCCAGCAGCCTATAACAGACCTGCATGTGTCCACCTACAGCTCGGCGCTGGCTGCCACACTGCGGCGGGCTGGCGGGCTGACAATGACTTGAATGCTGATTATTGTGAAGATCGACAAAGGACACAAGGAAAGGAGGAGATGAACCGTTTCCTGCGAGCCGGGGAGAATGGAGGGCTGCTGACGGACTGCAGGGAGCTGTCACCCAACCACACCGCCTCCTCCGCCTCCTCCTCTTCCACCACCACCTCTTCCTCCTCCTCCTCCTCCATCTCCATCACCTCCTCCTCCTCCTCCTCCTCCTCCAGCGCCGCTGGCTCAGCCGACAGACACGCGGCCCTGCCCTCGCTCCAGACCCGGGGACCTGTCGGCGGTGGCGGCAGCGGCGGGTCGGAGCCGAGGAGATCCGCGCTTAAACGCAGCCGAGCCGGCCGGGAGGGAAGAGAGGAACCGGAGGCGGCGGCGGCGGCGGATCACTCAGCGGCTGCCGTCGCGGTGCGCGGCGGCGGCGAGGTGTGCGTCGGGGTCGGTAAGCAGCAGCAGCAGCAGCAGCGTCGGGAGGCTCAAGGACGCAGCGTCGGTGGAGAAGGTCTGGAGATGATTTCAGCGGTCAGCAGAGACGCGGACGGCGGCGGGAGCGGCAACAGTAACAACAACAACAACGGCGTCTCCGAAGTGACCACGGCCTCTCCTGCGACATGCGCCAAAGGCAAGGAGGAGAGGAAGGGGAAGAACGTGATCCGGGGCTGGAAGAGGGACAGAGACAGGGACAGGGACGCCGCCGCTCCAGCCGCCGCTCCTCCTGCCCGGACGAGGAAGGAGAAGCCCGGCGATGGCTCGTCTCCTCCTCCCTCCGTTTTCCTCCCGTCGTCCGCCCTGTCCGAGCATCATCTGTGCCGCGACGGCCCCGGACACTGCCACAGCGCCGCGCCAGACTCCAGGATCACGGGAGATAACGGCAACATTAACAACGTAAACAATAACAATAGCGGGAGTAACGGCGGCGGCGGCGCTGCCAGCAAAACCGCGCTGGATTGTGGAGTTAAAAGCGGCGGCGGCGGCGGCGGCGCTATTGTTGTCAGGCGGCAGCATGACGACACGCCGGCGGCCAAGAAACACAGAGGAGCCGAGAAGGTAAGCAGCTTTTATTGTCTGGAGGCCAATCATGAAACACACACAGTCAGAGAGCAGCTACACCTCACACCTGCAGCTGCTCCATCTTTCACATCCTCACAATCAGAGGTGGAAAACATGAAAATAAAAAGAGAGGAATGAGATATTTTTGACATTCAGAGCACACACAGGCAGTCAGATGCAGGTGTGGAGGCCACAAAGAAGCCTGTACAGCAGCAGACACACAGCAGGAATGTTTAAATGGATGGAGGTGGAGATGGAGATGGAGATAGAGATGGAGGGGAAGACCGCCTGCCTGCCACATGATATTTATTTCCTATTGTTGTTGCCCAGCTGGTGTCATTGTTCCCAGTCTCCCTGTCTGTCTGCTGATATTTACCGTGCTGATGTACAGAGATGAGATTTTTTTTCTATTTTGGAGGGGACATGAAGAGAAGGAGGAGGAGGAGGAGGAGGGAGGCAGCAGCAGCAGCAGCAGCAGCAGTGTGTCCTCCATCTCCATCCTCCTCCTCCTCCTTTCGGTACCATTTAATCCAGTCCTTGTTTTTGCAGGAGATTAAACGAGAGAGCAACTATTTACATGTGCAGCAGCAACTCAGTGAAGGCGTGAGGGAAAAGGAGCCTCTTCTGTAAATCCTCCTTTTTGTTGCATCTGCAGGCTTTGTTTGCTCATTTAATTTGGGAAAACACCCATGATGTCAAAACGAATCAGGTGTGAGAGCGTGGGTCAAGATGCTCCCAAATAAGACAGGGACACTGCAGGCTGACAGGCTGGACCGCCGAGGGTTGACGAGCCACTCTGAGCTCCATTTTCTAGTCGTTTTGAGGGGATATTGCCACTTGTGAAATCATTTTTGGGGTTTAAATAAGTCATCCGCAGGAGAGACAAAGATGGAGGAAGATGGGTGGAGAGGTGAAGTGGGGGAAAGAGATGTTTGAGAGGGAGGAATTAGACGTGACAGCAGAGGACACAGGCTGAAAGAGTCTGAAAGAGACAGAGATAGAAAAAAAAAGAGAAACAGATGGAGGATGTCCAGAAGGAGGGTTTTTTTTTTGTGGATGCAGGATTAGACGAGGCAGGAAAAACCGAAGCATCCTCCCTGCTGCTGGCAGATGCTGCTGACAGGAGGAACGCTGGCCTGCCCCGGCTGCTTTGTTTATTTGTTGATCTGAAGGATTCCCATTCGGCTGTGAAACACACACACATATACACACACTCACACTCACCCGCCTTGAGCTCTGTAGTGACTGTAATTCATTCCCCGTCAGCAGTAATCTGGGCTGCACTGAGGAGTTTTAGTGTCCTGTGATGGTTGTTGTGGAGCTCCGGAGGCATTTACTCCTTAAAACACTGAAAAGAGATGAGTTTAAATGTTAAAATGTAAAGTTTTAAAGACTGAATGTTGACACAGACAATCTTAACTAGGGACATGATCAATAATAGTCCATTTTGCCTTTCTGAAAACCTCAGTAGGATGCTCACCTGCCTCAGCAGTGGTGGTTTTGAACCTTTAGCACTTTTCAGATATCGTCCTTTGCATTAATTATCAAAAACTTGGAACTTTCGTCATATTTTTTAACCCATTTCTAGTGCACAGTACAGCATGACACTACTCAACTCGACTCAATTTTTGGATAGTTCCTGGTGCTTTTCTGGTACCATTGCAGTCAAGGTTCCCGACAAAATGAGCCGATAACTAGGGGTGGGAATCACCAGAGGAACCACGATACCAGGGTGGCCACAGGTCCTTACAAAGTATTAAATTGTCTTAAATTCAGATTGAATGAGCCTGAAATGTTCTTTAGTCACATCACCAGAGTCATTTTTGGTGTTGGTGGTGTAGGAAACATAATTTTATCAGGAGGGAAACACCATTCGACAGGGTGCACCAGTATGTGCACGATGCCCCAACTTTTGCCCCCTCACATACTTAAAGGAATAGTGCACCCAAAAATGAAACTTCAGCCATTATCTACTCACCCATATGCCGAGGGAGGCTCAGGTGAAGTTTTAGAGTCCTCACAACACTTGCAGAGATCCAAGGGGAGAGGAGGTAGCAACACAACTCCACCTAATGGAGGCTGACGGCGCCCCAGATTCAAACGTCCAAAAACACATAATTGAAACCACAAAATATCGGAGGAGCAGTATGGAGATATTTTGTGGTTTCAATTATGTTTTTGGACGTTTGAATCTGGGGCGCCGTCAGCCTCCATTAGGTGGAGTTGTGTTGCTACCTCCTCTCCCCTTGGATCTCTGCAAGTGATGTGAGGACTCTAAAACTTCACCTGAGCCTCCCTCAGCATATGGGTGAGTAGATAATGGCTGAATTTTCATTTTTGGGTGCACTATCCCTTTAAGCCCGGTTTCCACCGAGCAGTACGGTTCAGTTCAGTTCAGTACGCTTTTTTCCCATCCACAGTAAAAGTTGTGGATGGTACCAACAGAAGCGTTCCTTAGCGTCCCCATGTTTGGTCCCCCCTCTGTTGGGGTACCTAGCACACAGATCTGGTCCTAAAAGGTGGAGCTGTGAACACTGCAGTCTGATTGGTCAGTAGAGGACGGTCACTGCTCAGGGCTGAGTTGTGTCTGGTTTTGAGGCTCATGTAACCACTGTTCATACTGTGGAGAGTTTTATTAGTAAACTGTAACTATAAAATGAAAGGATGTTTTGCTGCCTCTCACAGCAGCTGGAGTCTGAGAAAAAATAACTTCATTCACTGGGCCGACTGCCGGCGACTTTTAAGGTGGAACGTTAACTTGTAATGTTACTCAATGCATGAGTTGATGACGTGAATCCATCAGCACACCTTAAATTTCACTGTGACAACTTTGACCATCACTTTAGTTTGTATATGACACACACTTTTAGTAATGAGTGGATCTTCTAGTGTTTATATATATTAACTTTGACCGGGACAGCTTATATCCCAATCCTGACTCCAGCTAATAATGGACTGAAATATAATGCAGCCGTTAATGTTATAAGTCATGACCACATTTAACAAGTTCAAATGTCCGCTCAGGTTCGTTGTTAGGAAAGGCTCAAATGATATCTGCTTGGAAAAGGAGCCTTTTTAAATCAACTGGATGATCAGTGATTGACAGTTCTCTCTGTCGCCCCAACACGAACATTTCCTACAGCTGATTGGTTGAACGCACTGCTTCCTACGCTGTCATCATGGTCTCTGCTTCTGATTTTGAAACTGCAAAGTGTATGAAGGCTAAAACATCACATTTCATTTCTCTTAAAGTCAATGTGCTGTCCACCTGCACTGACGTGTTCCTGAATGCACTCATCTTCCCTCCCATATGCAAACTGCTATAAACCGAGGTTCGGCTTTCAAAATACCGTAGACGTCGCTTCCCTTTCCACGCCTCGCTGTGAGGCTGGATGTGTTTAATTAATCTCAAATCAAACACTTCAATTTCTGTTTCCATTTTTACAGTTTTAGAGCTGTTACACCTTTTTGGAGGATTGAGATTTTATGATGCATTTCATTTAGATTAAATTGGATTAAATAGTTACACCCCTGCTAACAGCAACCCATGTGGAGCTCTGAGTGCATGGAAGAGTTGTACAAAGCCTAGATAAGAAAGCTTAGAAATGACATTCTAAATAAAGAAGATTAATACACAGAGCCATATATTGCATTTATTTACAGAGACGACAGAGGTCCTTGTGTGCTCGGTTAAAAATGATACCTTTTAGCCTTTTATGTGTTCACACAAATGGTGTTTCAGTCCATCTCGTGCTCATCTGATGAAACAGATCTGCTTGTATTTTAATCAGTACAGCTGTCTACTCAGGCTGCATTACAGCTTTTTTATTTAAGCCTATTCTCTCCCATTTTATGCACCTAATTACAGTTGTGTTGGCCTCTGAAGGCTGCCAAGACGTGGGTGACGTACACTTATACTGTGCCTGAACGCATCATATCAAGAGTCTACACCAAGTCCTCAGGAACAGCACCGGGCTTTGAAGCCAGCATAGTAGCCAGACAGTGGAATTACAACGTCCGGATCCATCACGTGGTGCCATGGCGCCCAGAAACACCTCTTTCCAACTAACATTGTGAAAGAGACGTCTTTATATTCGTGGGTTCATTTTTTTAGCGTCACAACCTCAATGAAATGACTCGTTTCACTTTGAGGATTTGATCCATTCAGTCCGATAACATTTCTAACGTCTAGAAGAACCGCAAGATTAAATCATTTTATCCCTGTTAGCGGAGGGCTGAGCCGGGAGTTGGCAGCTCGGCTGGCGAAAGTCTCCAGTGCGCCAGCTCTGTGGAAACAGACGGGAAATCAGCGTAATTTTACACATGGAAGACGAACTTTTTGACTTCATGTGCCACTGAGTGACTTTTGTAGGAATAAATGTGGCCCTGCCTCTGATGCTGTATCCAGTTTTCTTTATACATCCATGATCTACAGTCATGCTTTAGGCTCAGTGATGGTTGAACTAAATGTCAGCGTGCTAACATGCTGATGGTTAGCAGGTCTGATGTTTACCATGTTTACCATCTTACAGCTGAAATACACGGGACAACCATGAGGCGTCATGTAGGCGGAGTGAATCGGGGTTTTTTACCCGCTACGCAGACTCTGTCTTTGCAGCGTGTGGTTGCGGCAAACTTCACTGTGTGTGTTTTGAGTTTTGCTGAGTGATAATGCAGCTGATTATGGAGGGTTTGGAAGAGTAGGTTGAATTAACTGGTACTGAAATTATTACCAAAAAGATGCATCTATCTGACTGATTCATTTTAATGTGTAATGTAAAAACACACACTAGGTTGCTCTGCTGCTTTGCATTGCGTCTGGTACAATGAGATATGCATTTGTAGTATTTTTGAACAAAATTTTTTTTTTTTTACACAATTTCAGGTAGTTCTAATGTAGCATGTAGAGAAAAAAATAGACCTGTTGAGTAAAATCAAAGTTAAGCAGGTGCCCACGTGGGCAGGTGTGGCTATTGTGGTCCGTGTAGCAGCTTCAG